AATCTCTGCATATAGTGTGTGTGCATGTGTATATATATGTTTATATATATATACACAAACATATATATATATATTTTTTTTGAGACGGAGTCTTGCTCTGTTGCCCAGGCTGGAGTGCAGTGGCATGATCTGAGCTCACTGCAAGCTCCACCTCCTGGGTTCACATCATTCTCCTGCCTCAGGCTCCTAAGTAGCTGGGACTACAGGGGCCCACGACCACGCCCAGCTATTTTTTTTTTTTTTTTTTTTTTGTATTTTTAGTAGAGACAGGCTTTCACCGTGTTAGCCAGGATGGTCTCGATCTCCGGACCTCGTGATCTGCTTGCCTCGGCCTCCCAAAGTGCTGGGATTAAAGGTGTGAGCCCCCGCGCCTCACCTATATTTTTCTTTAAAATAAACTTTCTTTAAACTCATGAAGACTCAAGGATATTTCTGGCAAAACATGTCACATTTATGCTATCCAATAAGAACTCCATTTTCTGACAGCTGACTTTTACTTAAGATTTACTGTGTAGTAGCTACTAAATGATTGTGAGTTGTTCAATGCATTTAGCTAATAAACAAAAACAGGAATAAAATTTTGCATTTAGCTATGTAGAAAGAAATGAGATATTTCATTTTGAAAAGTCCTGAAATGTAAACTTTTAAAATATACTGTATCATGAGCCGAATTTGAAAACTACCTTGAAAAATTGAACTTTGAGTATGAAATGACAATCAGTCACTATTGGTAATCATAATAACTTAAAATAAAAGCAAGCTAGAGCTACAGGTTCATCAAAGAGAACAGATCTTATTGTTTCCTACCACATCTTTAAATAACTTTTTTGTCTGATTATAAACAGGTTATTTAATGTAGTTAATTTCGAATAGGAAAAAAAGTTAAATTTACTTACTAATCTGAGATGAGCATTTTATCAAGCAGCCTTGTGGATGTATTTATACTTTACACACATTAACATGACTCTCCCCAATACTGGAGAACTCTAACATTTATACATTCTGAGAAAGAAAAAAGCTCCACAACATAAAAGCACTAGAGCACGACCAAAAGTTGGTAGAAACGAGAGTAAGGGTAAGAGGAAATCTTACCAGGTAACATTTGATTTTATGTGGCTTTTCATCTGAGGGCACTCAATAGTCTACACAAAAGAAAGAGTTGCCAAGAAGTGAGCCATGAAATGTTTGTATGAATCCCAACTAAATACCTACAAGTTCCTGAATTATGCACACTCAGGTAAGACTCTAGGGGGCCCTGGAGAAAAGCAACAACTTACAGCTGAAAGTGGGGGACAAAGTTTGAGTTCTGGCAAGTCAATGGTCTGCTTGAACAAGAATCAAGACTTTGCAGAGAAAGACAACAGGCTGCAGAGGAGCTTCAACATGTTATCAACAATAGAAGTTATTAAAAATTAGGGAAGAAAAGGAAAATGTAAAAAAAGGAGTCTACAAAAAAGACCTCAAAATGACCCTGATACTGAAATCAGCAGAAAAGCACTTTAAAGCAACTATGATAAATTTGTTCAAGGCCATAAAGAAAAACATAGACATAACAAATGAAAGAGAAAAAACTAACCGGAGGGGGGAAAAATTGTAAGAGGAGAAAAAAAACAGATGGGATTAACAGAAAGGAAATGGCAAAATAAGTTTAAATCTAGCTATAGCAATTACATCAAATGTAAATGAACTAAACACTATTTCTCACACAAGGGCTGAGAGTCAATAAAAAAGTGCCTTTATGCTTTTTGCAGGAAAAGTACTTTAAAACACAAAGACCTAGATTTGTTTAAACTAAAAGGATGAAAATTGATATACCATGCGAATATCCAGTAGACAAAAGCTGGTGACTAATTTTAATAATAAACAAACAGAATCAATGACAAGGAATATTAGCTGAGATAAAAAGGACCATTTGATAATGATAAAAAAGTCACATAAATATCAAGCTGACAAAAGCTGGAGTGGTAAACTTTAAAATGAGGACAAACAGAATTAATAACCTCGAATATCAGCAAGATATAGTGGGATGTTCCATAATAATAAAAAGGTTAGTTCATAAAAAATAACTATAAAAGTACATGTGCCTAATATAATAACAGAGTCTGAAAATGAAACGAATTGACAGAACTAGTAAAACCACTATAGTTGGAGACTTAACACAGAACATCATAACCAATAACTGCAGAATACATTCTTTTCAACTGCACATAGGACATTCACCAAGACAGATCATATGCTGGGCCATAAAATAAATCTTGGTAAACTACAAAATACCGAAATCTTTTATAGTATGTTCTCCGACTAAAATGGAACTGAATTAGAAATCAGTAAGATATCTAGAAACACCTCCAACATTCTGAAATTAATATATTTATACATAATCTATTACTCAAAGAAGAAATCACAAAGAAAACTGTAATTATGGTGAACTGAGTGATACCAAAATTTGCAGGATGTCACTAAAAACCAATGCTTAGAGGGAAACTGATAGATTTAAATTCTTCTATCAGAAAAGAAAGATTTAAAGATCAAAGATCCACATTTCCTCCCTAAGAAGCTAAATAAAACAAAAGCAAATTAAACTCCAAGTGTGGTGCAGGAAAAAATAAAAGGAATAGAAAAGAAAAAAGAAAAAAATTTACTAAGTACTTGTTGAAATAATAAAAAAAAAATTAAAACATCTCTGTCAAGAGGTTGGGGGGAAAAAAGAGGAAACAGCTATTATGAATATGACAAATGAAGGAGGTGATATCAAATACATCCTACAGACATTAAAAGGATAGTTAAGACAATAAGAAAATATTATGCCAATAAACGGCGCTACCTCAGGGAAATGAACAAACCACTTGAAGATACAAAATACCATAACTCACCCAAAAAGAGATGATCTGAATAGTCCTAAATCTATTGGGAAAATTGAATTCATGGTTAAAAACCCTCCTACAAAGAAAATGCAGGGCCTAAATGGAATAAGCAGTGAATTATATCAAACATTCAAGTAAGAAAAAATACCAATCTTATGCAAACACTTTCAGAAAACAGAAGGGATTACTTTCACCTTGTTTTATGAGGTCAGTGTAACCCTGATACCAAACCTCACAAATACTGAAATGTAGACATACAAATTCTTAATATCAGAATCAAATCCAGTCATATAATACAAGGCCTCATCATGACTAAGCTTACCAATGAGTGCAGGGTTGGTTCAACATTGGAAAAATCAATCAATGTAACTCATATTAACAGAAGAAAAAAAGTCCTATGACAATTTCAATAAGTGCATAAAAAGCACTTGACAAAATTCAATATTTATGACAAAACTTCTCAGCACCCTAGAAATAAAGAAAATTTCTCAGTATTGCATAGGGCAAAAAACCAAACAAAACAATGGACATATTTATTGCCCCTGGCACAATAGGCAGGAAAAAGAAATGAGGATTGGAAAGGAAGAAGCAAAACTGTCTCTCCTTGCAGATGACATAATTATCTACATACAAACTCTCAATGAATTTACAAAGTAATTATGAGAATCAACAGGTAAATTTAGCAAGGTTGCAAGATAAAAGATTATACAAAAATCAATTGTAATTTATATTAGAAGCAAACGATTGGAAAACTAAATTATAAAATTAATTTCATTTACAAGAGAATGAAAGGACACAAAATACTTGAATTTAATGAAAGAAGTACAAAACCTCTACTCCAAAAAATCTAAAATACCGCTGAAAGAAATTACAGAAAGCTTAAATAAATGGAAAGATATATTATGTTCATGTACTGAAAGATAATTAATTCTCCCTAAGTTTAATACTAATCATAATCCCAGTAGGCATTTTTTCTAAAAAAGAGAAACTGAAAATCTAATTCTAAAATTTATGTGGACACTCAAAGGACAGAATAGTTAAGATAAAGGAAAAAGAAAAGACTGAGTTACTCAGCAGATGGGTCAGAGTAATATACCCAAATGAGGAACGTGTGGACTCCAAAATCCAAATAGGCCCACTAGGTACCGTACCTCTATTCTTGGTTGTAGGAGTGGCTAGATAGAACAATATCACCTTAGTATGAATATCTTGACATGCCCCATATTACCAGAACTTTAGAAATTTCACTGAGGTTCCTGAATTTTAGTCAAATTGATTTCCCATTCTCTGAGAAGCAAATGTCTTAGCACTAAGTCCAGATTAGTTGCTCACTAGGTCCAATCAGCATAATATCATCAATATAATGGACCAGTGTAATATCTTGTGGAAGGGTAAGAAGGCTATTAAGATCCCTGCAAACTAAATTGTGACATAGAGCTGGAGAGTTGATACACCCCAGAGGTAGGACAGTGAAGGTGTACTGGGGCCGTGCCAGCTGAAAGCAAACTGCTTCTAGTGAACCTTATGGACAGCTATGAAGAAAAAGGTCAGATCAACAGCTGTATACTGGGTACCAAAGAATGTTAATCTGCTCAAGTAATGAAACCACAACTGGTGCAGAAGCTGCAACAGGAGTCACATAAAGGAACATAATAAAGAATAACGGGTAATGAATTATAATCACTGAATATAAATTCATGAGCCCATATTGATGTAAATAATTAAATGAATAAACACACACATTTATTTATGTATAGACTGGAAAGTCCATCCTCATGGTAGAGTGCCAACTAATTAAAACAAAAAGAATGATAAATCATCAACCCACGGGGTGAAGTTGCATAAAAAATATAGGATATTTACGTAATATCAAAGTATCTTCCTTAAATTAAATAGCAAAGGGAAAAATAACTTTAATGGGGAATAACTCAGAAGACACCACATTACCCAAGTGATCAGTTAACATCACCAATATTTCACCAAAATCGTATACTTCTAATGTAAGGCAGAGAGGACAAAACCTTATTTTGGGCTATTCTGCAAAAAATGCATAGGGTTAAACTAATTATGAGGCATCATCAGACAAGCAAATTGAGGAACAGTTAACAAGTAATTGTACTTTTCAAAAACATCAAGGCAAAGAAACACCGGAAATCCTGAGGAGCTACTCCAGATTAAGGACACTAAAGAGATATGGCACCCAGAGGCGACGTATGATCTATTTGCATGAGGAAGAAAACTACAAAGGGTATTACTGAGTCAACTGCTGAAATCTGAATACAGATGGAGATCAGTTGATACACTGAATAAATATTATACTTCTCAATTTTGGTAAGTACACTGTAGTAAAAAGAATGCCACTATTCCTAGGAAACACAGAAGTATTCAGGAGTAAAAGAGCATATCTCTAAATTACTAACAAAGACTTCTATATATATAATATGGAAAATAAATAAATATATATAGAAAATAAATACATATATAGAAATATATATATATATATGTCTTGTGAAGCCATAAGTCATTTCTAAGGAGATACAGCTAAAAATCATGACATTAACACCAGATTATGATGCCAAGTTGTATTTTAAAATTTTACACACACACACACACACACACACACACACACACACACACAATCTATCTATAAAATAACCTCATGTCCTTTCTTGCGTATGTGTGGTAGGGGGAGTGGGGAGAGACAAAAGGGGACAAGGGGTGAGAAAGAGAGAGAGACTATGAATCAATGAGAGAATGTTTAATTCGGGATCAAAGGCATATCGGAATTCTTTATATCATTCTGGCAACTTTCCAGTAAATTTGACATTGTATCAAAACAAATTTACCACATAAAATGAGTGGTTTCAATGATCTATTGTTCTTTTTTTATCATTAATTCTACAGATGCTCACCAACATATGATGGTATTATATCCCAATAAACCCACTGTAAGTCAAAAATCTAAGTAAAAAATGCATTTAAAATACCTAACCTACTGAAGATCATAGCTTAGCCTGGCCTACATGAAACATGCTCAGAGCACTTACATTAGTGCAAAATCATCTAACACAAAGCTTTTATGTAATTTAATAAATACTGTACTGAAAGTGAAAAATGATGACTTTGTAAGGGTTCTCGAAGTACAGTTTCTATTGAATGGATATTGCTTTGCTATCTTCTTAAAGGTGAAAAAGTATACGTTAAACGGTAAGTTGAAGCCTGTTTGTAATATTTATTAAAATGTCATGGTGATGTGGTATTCAGCTAGAACTTAATACACAGTACTGTCTTCAAAAGTATATACGCTTGTTCTTTATCTAAGTTAACTAAAGTACAATATCTATTATTTTATACTGGTTTTACTAGAAATTCAATTCCAGAACAATAGAAAATTGGGTTTTTGTGAAATATACTACCTTTTACACTTAAGACTATGATGCAAGAGTTAATCCTAAAACACAACAGAATATAATTCTACACTCAGAAAAAGAAAACAAATCAAAGTCTTAAGCGTTTTCTCACACAAATTCAGATTTAATGACAGTATATCTTGTAGATATATAGGCTATCTTTGAGAAGATATTATTAGATGTTATGGCATTAAGCCCTGATTATGACACCAGGTTATGTTTTAAGTTAATAAGTTGAAAAAGTATGCAGTGAACATATTCTTCTTTATATTGTAGAGGATTTATTATTAATATTCTATAGCTTACAATTTTCTACTATCCAGAAACTCCATCAAATCTGTATGAAAATAACAGAAATGACAACTTCCATTTAAGCTGACTTTTGGAAAACAAAAACTATCTACATTTAATAATCTATTTGGTATTATTAATAGTAAGGGCCTACAATAACCATTTCAGAACAAAACAGATCAACGTGATAATCAAAATGCACATTTCCTACTTTCAAAGGCAAAATGTTAAAGAGTTTTTAAAGAAGTCACTGATATTGAAAGAAAGCCAAAAAAACCCCAAATTGACAATTTATTAGGTATTTCAATATACCTAAAATGAAACATCTAATATAGTCCTGAAAAGTAAAACGGCTAGTTGGTTTCACAAAAAAATGTCTAGGGTGAATTTAAAGACCAGATAATTCCACTGTTCCAAAGCATAGAAAAAGACCAGAAACATTCTGATTATATTTATGAAGTAAGCATAACATCATAACATTGATACCAAAAAGGAAAACTGTAGACCATTTTTAGTTATAAATGTCAATGTAAAAATCCTAAATGATATAGTAGTGAAATGAACCTATCAGTATAATAAAAAAATATATATATATCATCACCAAGTGGGGTTTATTACACAATGTAAAGTTGGTTCAATAATAGGCAATATTTCAATATAATTCATTATAATACTAGATCTAAACAGATTAATCAGATTGGGGTTAGCCAACTATGGCCAGTGGGCTGGTGGCCTGTTATTGTAAATAAAACTTTACTGGAACACAACCACACTCATTTTTTTACATATTATCTATGGCTCCTTCTGTACTATAACAGCAGAGCTAAACAGTTGCAACAAAGACAGTATCATTCATAAAATGAAAATATTTATTATCTGATCCCTTAAGAAAGTTTACTGATGCCTGCATTGGATAATTATCTTCACATATGCCTAAAAGTGTGTAGCAAAATGCAAGGATCGTTTGGAATTTTCTCAGTTCCAAGAACAGTGGTCATTCTCTTTATAACCATCTATTTACTACGTCTAATACATAAAAAACAAGTAAGTGAAAAAAGGTTTCCCTTTTCTATTATACATTAACTGAAAGGCCAAGTAAAATAATAAGACCTTTATTTTTTCATGATTAAAATTTGTAAAACACACTATGTGATGGTAAAATTTTCCTGTACATATTAAGTTTAAAAAAAACCACAGCCAGGTGCAGAACAGCATGTATATTACCAGTTGTATGAAAAACGGGAGCATATATGTTTCTACTCGGTAGTAAACTCATAAAGAATGATCTCTGTAAAGATACACAAAAAACCTAAAAACAATGCTTACTTGAGTTTTGGTAGGATCTGGGAAGATAGGAGATGTGGTAGACAGGAGAAATGCACTTCATATTTTTTATATACTCTATGATTTTTTTCGAACCATGTGAATGTATTACTAACTCCCCAAATAACCTACACAACTCAAAGAGATTTACAAAAACTTATACAATATTCTTTGCAGTTTTAAAACATTTTATAAATTATAAATGGATTGCCTTTCCTATATAACAGGAATGAAATCTGATTAAAACTAGGAGACAGGTAAGTCATTTTGTTGACATGGACAGGTATTACAAGTTTGACCTTTATTTCTATTTCTCACTGTTCCTAAGTTTATGATTTTATACTTAACTTTCATAGATTCTGGGCCTGATGAAAACAAAATTGTATTGTTCTCTCCAAAAACTCTGAATAATCTACTGAATAATTATGATTCTACTAAGTCCTTTTACTCAGAATAAATAAATACATACCATTATCTTCTTCAATTCCAACAGGGCCTGCTTGAGGAGTCTCCCCATTCTTCAAACAATTATGGATGTATGTTGCCTTCCATCTGGCATACTTCCTGTGTTTCACATTCTAAAAGAGAGCATTTTTATATCAACATTGGACTACAGTAAAGAAGTAAGAAGTAAACATTTATGATGATCCATATCATATTTCTGAGATAAAACCTATTTATGCAGATTACAGCTCTGAAAGAAACTGGCAACTCCCACCCTATTGCTAGAATCCACCAAGTATTTAAGGCTTGACAGAATTCATAAAAAGCTATTGTCCTCAAAACACATGCCTAGTTCTCTTTTATCATTTAACATTTCAGAAAGGATATGCAAGGTAAAAACAGGAGTGTCCTTCCAGCAAAATTTGTATCTCTTCTGCACAGGGGAGAAACAGGCTAAAGTAGAATTCTAAGACTAAATATAAAAATAACAATAGATTGAATTATTTTCACTAAAGACAAAAAAAAAGACCTGTACAAATCAAGAAAAAAAATTAAGATGATGTAGTGGTTAAAGCAAATGCTAGATTGATAGGTAAACCTGACTTTTTAACTAGTCACCTGCTAGTTAACAGCTCTGAACCTCAGTCACACTGATTCTAAAAAGGGAAAAATAATACCTGATTGGGTTGTAAGAAGAACTGAAAAGATCATGAAAAACCTGTTAGTTGCCTCTTCTATGCCTTAAAACTAATTTTACATGATATGCTAATGTTACAGGATATAAGATTAAAATTTGCTTTAAAAAATATAAAAACCTCTTAGAATTTTGGATGTGCTAGTGATTTTTAGTTTATATTTTCAACTGACCTTTATAGTGGTATCGTTATAACTTGGGAACTTGTCAGAGATGCAGAATCTTCAAGCCCACCCCAGATCTACTGAACCTGATCTACAAGTGCCAGTCTGCACCTGCACTACAAGAACCCCAGGTGCACATTATAGTTTGAGAGCAAAATATGCACATTAGAGTTTGAGAGCGAATGTGGTTTTACTATCTGAAAACAGGCATGGTGGCTCACATCTGTAATCCCAGTACTTTGGGAAGCTGAGGCAGGCAGATCACGAGGTCAGGAGTTCGAGACCAGCCTGGCCAACATAGTGAAACCCTGTCTCTACCGAAAATACAAAAATTAGCTGGGTGCGGTGGCAAGCGCCTGTAATCGCAGCTACTCGGGAGGCTGAGGCAGGAGAATCACTTGAACCCGGGAGGCAGAGGTTGTGGTGAGCCAAGACCATGCCACAGCACTTCAGCCTGGGCAACAGAGCAAGAGTCTGTCTCCAAAAAAAAAAAAAGAAGAAGAAGAAAAAAAAAAGAAATAGAGAGCTAGGCGCAGTGACTCATGCCTGTAATCTAAGCACTCTGGGAGGCCAAGGAGGGTGGATGGCCTGAGCTCAGGAGTTGGAGACCAGCCTGGCCAAAATGGTGAAACCCCATCTCTACAAAAAATACAAAAAATTAGCCGGGCATGGTGGCAGGCACCTGTAATCCCAGCTACTCAAGAGGCTGAGGCACGAGAGTCATGTGAACCCAGGAGGCAGACGTTGCAGTGAGCCAAGACTGCGCCACTGCACCAGCCCGGCTCCGGACCTCCCCCTGGCCAAAAAAAAAAAAGAAATAGAGTAACCTTCTGCAAAGATCCACTAGGTCACTGATGAGTACAAATGCAGCATGTGGTCCAGATACTTAGTTGAGTATTCTATAATGTGAGTCTCTAGATACTACTAGAGGTAGCTTCTGTACAGAAAACTAAAAAAATTAACCCCTAAATTACTGAATTTGTATCACATTTCCTTCTTATCAAACACTCCTCTTACATATTCAATTAAAAAATCTATACACAGATTCTGATTTTCTTCC